AGATCTCAAGTCACCAGATTGGAGTTTAAAAGCTCCAAAGATCAAAGGCGGCATGCATGCTCCTGATCTGCCAGATCTGCCAGACATGAACCTTAAGGGTCCTAAATTAGATGTTGATACACCAGATGTTAACATTGGATCACCCAAAGGAAAATTCAAAATGCCTAAATTAAAAATGCCAAAATTTAGTCTTCCAGGTATGAAAGGACCCGAACTTGATGGTAACCTGAATGGTCCAGATATAGATGTAAATGCACCTGATCTAAACTTGAAAGGGCCTAAAACTGATCTAGATTTTGAAAAACCAGGTTGGTCTGGGAAATTCAAAAAGCCACACCTAAATCTACCTGACTTAAATCTTTCAGGTCCAAAGATTGATAGTCCTAACTTGGACCTAAGAGCACCTGATCTAGATGTCTCTGGTCCTAATCTCAGGGGTGGAATGAATATGCCTGACATTAATATGCCCAAGGCAGACTTTAAAACACCCAAATTAGACCTCAGTGGCCCAGAGGCCAATTTGGACATGCCCTCTGGCAAACTGAAAATGCCTGAAATTCAAGGTCCAAACTGGGATGTCAATGCTCCATCAGGAAAACTCAAGATGCCAAAAATGAACCTTTCAGGTACATTACCTAAAGGATCAAACTTAGACCTCGATGGAGATCTCAAGTCCCCAGATTTTAGTCTCAAAGCTCCGAAGGTCAAGGGTGGCATGAATGGCTTTGAAGGTCCTGATGTAGATTTTGGGAGCCCTTCAAGGAAAGGTAAAAGGCATAAATTGAAAATGCCAGATGTTGGATTTTCAGCTCCGAAGATAGATAGCTATGATCTTAATGCTCAAAAGATAAAAGGTGGATTTGAATCTAACTTAAGTTTATCAAGCAATGACTTTAAAAGCTCCAAACCTGACTTTGATGTTCCAGATGTTGATTTTGGTACTTCACCGTTTAAACTGCCAAACTTAAAAGTTCCCAATGTGGGATTTTCTAGTCCAAAGCTAGATAGCCCAGATCTTGATTTCAAAACACCAAAACTGAGTCCAAAATTACCAAAGGGGCATAATCTTACATTAAATTCTGACTTTAATTCTCCAGAATTGAATCTCAGAGCGCCAAACATGAAAGCTGAACTTGGTTCTCTTAAGCTCAGTGATCCAAACCTCAACCTCCAAGGTTCCAAATTTGACATGGACACTCCAGATGGCAATATCGGCTTACCTGGTGCCAATTTTAAGAAGTCCAAAAAAAAGATGCCAAATGTCTTTAATGCTGATATTCCAAATGAGTTGCAAGGGCCTGGGCTGATTATGCCTATTGCTCATAGTAATGTTCCAAAAGGATCACCAAAGCTGAGAGGTCCCGATTTAAGTTTGCCAGCTTTAGATCTCGCTGATGTCAGGCTAAATGGTTCAAGGCCCAGTGCAAAACATCCTAATGTGAGAATGAATAACATGATTGGACAACCTGAAATGAAGTTATCTGGGCCCAGAGGACAAGGACGTTTCAGTGGTGCCCAGATGGGTATGAATACTTCTATGATAGACATACGTGATCCTCATCTAAGATATCCAGACCTTAACATTGATGATGCTTCCATAAATTTCAAGGGAGCCTCCTATAAGAATCGCAGATCAAATATGGCTGGCATGAGTATAAAAAGACCTGATTTAGACATAGATCAAGACATAAGGTTTACTCATCCAAACAGGAAATCTTCTAGAACTAATGTAAGGTCCAGCAACCCTGCCACGAATAATGCTTTACACCAATATATTGATTTTAATCGTCCAGATCTCAATATCGATGATTTCACAGGGAAATACCACGTGCCTAGAGCTAGGGGTTCACAATTGGATCTCCGTGCACCATCTAGCTATGAACAAGGCATCCCTTCCTCTTATGTTGAGTCCAGAAACAGCAGGGGGTTACCAGCAGGTACCAGAAATCACAATTTGCATGGTTTTTCTCACAGTTCCCAATTAAGAGGACCTGAGGCTTCCGATGGATACTACGTTACCATTTTCCCCAAACAAGCACAATCTCAAAGAGTCCCAAACACTAAATCCAACTCTATGGGTAGACTTTCCTTTCCCACAGGGAAAATGGACCTTGATGTTCCAGATGAAAACTACCTAAAGGGCTCAACATTCTTTTTCTCCAACCTTGTATAGTCATCTGAGCACTTATATTGTCTACTTTTCTACAGTATTTCTGACATATTCTCTTTATTTATTATGACTATTCTTTTCCATGTGTGTATTGTGTGTGTTTTATGATCACTTTGCAGTTTTTTTTTTTTGCACTTGTTTTATACTGCCAATGTACAATATATTTTTTTACATAAACCAGTTATGTTTTACATTTTAATACAATCTTAAACAATGCTTTTGAAAATAATTTCATTATTGTACTTTTATTTTTTGTCATTTTATTTTGATTTTGAGACTCCTGACAAAATAAGTGCAATATAACCAGTTTTATTTTAAAAAATATATTGCTGTCTTGTATTGTCTGTTCAACTCAATCACTGAAGAAACCTTTGCTAAATTATTTACATAAGCATGTTCTGAGAAAATAGTAATGAAGTAGCTAAATATTTTGCAGTTTTTGCTTGATAACAGAAAACTGTGGTTCTTTGATTACTATAATGTACAGTTTTTGTATGAAGTGTTGTTGATGACAGAATTCTTCTATGTAGCTCCTGTAATGTTTTTACAAGTCAGTGGTTCCTTTTAAACATGTGCACATATATTACAGCTGAATAAAAAATTTAAAACAGTTAATAAAAACCAGAGCATCTAGATCCTGTGTCTTCCAAACTTCTAGAGTTTCTTTTGGCATCCTGCACCGACCTGTGGCAAAAAGGTGATTTTCGATGGAATTCAAATCTGACAATGACTCTGAAGTTCAAACCCTTTTTGCTGTTGCCTTTTATGTGTGTAAAGGTGCTGGAAATACTCACAAGGACTAGAAAAGCTCCACACAATCTCAGTCAGTTTACAATTTACTCAGAGCTACCTAATACTGGAAAAATACAAAGATCATTGCAAGATCATGTACTATTCTTTTTCCAGGGCAGTGTTTGTAGAGAAAACAAACTAGATTTTATTCTCTGGTTAAAATAATGCCGTAAATGTCCAATCCATCTATAATTAAAAGTAATTTTCTAGTCCAACCCTCATGAGTTTCTTTGGTAGAAACTATATTCCTGTTGCATTTACAAACTGAGCCTTACTGAGTTTACTGATGCTGCCAATACTGAGCAAGTTGTGCAAGGCTGGCAAAAATAATTGTGATTTTTCTGTTGTGCTTTTGTGAGATAAAAGGCTGCTCATGGTCTCAAAAGGCTTCCTTATAGCAGCAGACTTGTCATTTTATTGCAAGCAGTGGCCAAATTAAGAATGGGTACACCATGGTCCGTGAACCTGCTACTGATACATTTGGCAGTGTGTGCAGGTGCTAAAGTGTCCTGTTTGATAATCAAATCTGCATCTCTATAAAGTTGGTCATGAAGTGCCCTAAAAACTAGAGGTATCAAATCACAATTACAAATATTTTGTTTCTAAAGTTGAAAATTTGGCTATCTATACTTTACTAGAAAAATAATAATTGAACTTTATTGATCTCACATTGGAGAAATGTACCTCTGCATTCAACCCATCCTCTTGGGAAGCAGTTGGCTGCCATTGTGCGGCACCTGTTGAGCAGTGTGGGGTTAAGGGTCTTGCTCAGAGAGAATCTCCCCCAGATAGTGTAGTCATGTTTTTATGACTGACTAGCTGAATTTGCTCTCTTCATCTTCTGACATGGGAGCTGGCTCGAAGCTCATCTCCTTGGCTGTGGAACTAGTTGAACGTTGCCTTTTGTATCTCTGCTTCTTTCTGTGTCTCTGCTTCTGTCTCCTTGAACCCCAGTCGGCCTCAGCAGATGGTGGCTCACACTGAGCCTGGTTGTGCTGGAGGATTCTCTTCCTGTTAAAAGGGAGATTTTCCTCTCCACTGCTGCTACAAGCATGCTTAGTGTGAGGGATTGTCTTTGAGTCAATGAGTCGATGCAATCAACTGGTTTTCGTTAGATAGAAAACTTTGATCCAGATCTGGTTCAATTGTCTCTGTAAAGGGCCTTGAGATGACGTGTTGTGAATTGGTGCGATATAATTTGAATTTGATTGACTTAAAATGTGGGGTATAATACTTATGACCATTTAATATTTCAGTTTTTCTATTTTAATACATTTGCAAAAAATATCCACATTTTTGTCTTTTTCTGTCAGATGGGGTGCTGAGTGTACATTAAAGAGAAATACAATCATTATTTATATAGAATTTCGCTGCACCATCAGCACCAAGTCAGATTCCTTGTACATGCATACTTGGCAATAAATCTGATTCTGATTCTTAAAAAAAACAACTTAAATAACTAAAAATAGACAAAATAACTAAAATAAATCCCATGCTTACACCAAGAATAAAGATTTATGTTTGTTAAGGATGTCTTTATTGTTCCAAACAGTCTAACATTTTAGGGGATTTTAGTAATATTGTAACTACATATAATAAGTAGGAGACCGCCAACCACAATTTTTTTTTATTAATAAACTTTATTGAACAAATGTACAAAACAAACAGGTTTTTTATTAAGGGACAGCACATCAGAGGGGGAGATATAAAGATTTGCACAAGAGTTACACAATAATTAAACTGGACAAGAAAAAAAACATTAAAAGGAAAAATAATTTGAAACAGTCAATAAAATACAAATGACAAGTGTTAAATAATAAAAAAAGTTATTAAATATCAGTAAGAGGTTTCAGGGCAGTTTTTTCAATAGTTATCAAGAAACATGTTGTTCTTTTTATTTTTAACCAGTTTGAGAGATGCAATCAGAGAGTTCAACTCTAAGAGAAAGTGAGTAATGTTAGGATTTGCACATTTTTGTTTGTGAATGAAAAATTTTGCATATATGATAATAAAATTAAGCATATATTCAAAGTCACGATGTTTAGAGTTATTGTAATAGCAGATAAAATCTTTGAGAGTTAGTGTTAGTTGAATGGGACCGCCAACCACAATGAAGCAACTGCTGGAGTATACGTGACGTCATCAACGTGCGCCACGGCATCATCCGGAGGAGTCTGTCACCACGACCTTCTCTGCTGCTTCAGTCTCAGCTGATAATGTTTCTAACAGTAACCGGGACGTTTTAGATGAAAAGTGATAAACCGGAGTCAGTCAGCAGAAGAAGAGAAACATGCTCCGTTTCTCCTGTTTGGTTTTCAGCAGAGGAGCGGCTAGAAGGGTGAGTAGTTTCCAGCTAGCTGTGTCCATGCTAATCCTCATGCTAGTCATCTATGTGTAGAGTTACTGAGATAAACAGCAAATGCATCTGGTAGAATAAAGAGGTTGATTCTAATATAAAGAATTTTTACTTTTTATAATCGGTGTGGATACTTTATAGTAATGATGGTGAGATGAAGCCTCATGAGGCATTGAACCGTTTGGCTAAATTGC